AACTCGACACCCAAAAAATGAACAATCCAATTAAAAATGGGCAGAAGACACGAATAGACATTTTTCCAAAGAAGACATATAGATGGCCAACAGACACATGAAAAGATGTTCAACATCACTTAGCATCAAGGAAATGCAAATCAAAACTACAATGACATATCACCTCACACCTGTCAGAATAACTAAAATCAAAAACACAAGAAACAACAGGGGTTGGGAAGGATGTGGGGAAAGGGAAACTCTCTTGCACTGTTGGTGGGAATGCAAACTGGTACATCCACTGTAGAAAACAGTATGGATGTTCCTCAAAAAGTTAAAAATAGAATTACCCTATGATCCAGCAATCACACTACTAGGTATTTACCCAAAGAATACAAAAATACTAATTCGAAGGGATTCATGCACTCCGATGTTTATAGTAGCATTATCTACAATAGCCAAATTATGGGGAACAGCCCAAATGTCCATCGACTGATGAATGGATAAAGAAGTGATAAATATATATAAATATATAAATAATTTATATATAAATATATAGATATATATATTACTCAGAATATTACTCAGCCATAAAGAAGAATTAAATCTTGCCATTTGCAATGACATGGATGGAGCTAGAGAGTATAACACTAAGTGAAATAAGTGAGTCAGAGAAAGACAAATATCATATGATTTCATTCATATGTGAAATTTAAGAAACAAAACAAATGAGCAAAGGCAGGGGAGGGGGGAAGACAGAAGCAAACCAAGAAACAGACTCTTAAGTATAGAGAACAATCTAATGGTTACCAGAGGGTTGGGTGTTGGGAGATGGGTAAAATAGGTGATAAGAATTAAAGAATTCACTTGTGATGAGCACCGGGTGTTGTATGGAAATGTTGAATCACTACATTGTATACCTGAAACTAATATTACACTTTATGTTAACTAACTGGAATTTAAATGAAAACTTAAAAAAAAAAAACAATTAGTCATGAGAGTTCATCCATACACTGGGGTATTATCCAACCATTAAACTTAAGAGGAAGAATGCTTACAGACATGCATATTTTTTCTAATATATTTTTTTTTAATTTTTTTTTTCAACGTTTATTTGTTTTGGGGACAGAGAGAGACAGAGCATGAACGGGGGAGGGGCAGAGAGAGAGGGAGACACAGAATCGGAAACAGGCTCCAGGCTCTGAGCCATCAGCCCAGAGCCCGACGCGGGGCTCAAACTCACGGACCGCAAGATCGTGACCTGGCTGAAGTCGGACGCTCAACCGACTGCGCCACCCAGGCGCCCCTTTTCTAATATATTTTAAGTGAAAAGAACATGGTACAAAATAGTATTACCATTATTATTCTACTACAAATACAGCTATACACACATAAGCACACATATGCATGTATTAAAAAGCAGAAGACTAAAAGGATGTACACCAAAGTGTTTGTGGTTTTTTCTAGGTGCTGATTTATATATTCTTCTGGATTTTTCATACTTTTCAATTTCTCAATAATGAACATGTAATTCTTCCATAATCAAGTAAAAAGTAATTGTAGATAATTCATTTAGTTATCAGGGTCAACCAGCATGTGTGGAAAAGGTGGCAATTCTTACTGAAAAGAAATCAACACCTTTATTGTTGTTTTGAATTGAGGTTACATGTCTTTAAGTAGGAACTTATCTCTAAAATTAAAGCAGAAGTCAGTGGGACCTAACTGAGTTTGAAAGTATCATTTTACATATCACTTTTCAGGGGAAAAAAACTTTATAGTAAAATCCATTTCATCTGACTTTTTCTTTAAGAGCTTAAACGTTTTTCGAGGGGCGCCTGGGTGGCGCAGTCGGTTAAGCGTCCGACTTCAGCCAGGTCACGATCTCGCGGTCCGTGAGTTCGAGCCCCGCGTCGGGCTCTGGGCTGATGGCTCGGAGCCTGGAGCCTGTTTCCGGTTCTGTGTCTCCCTCTCACTCTGCCCCTCCCCCGTTCGTGCTCTGTCTCTCTCTGTCCCAAAAAATAAATAAAAACGTTGAAAAAAAAAAAAAAGTAAAAAAAAAGAGCTTAAACGTTTTCTTCTCCATATTTTATGCCCCCCAAGAGAAAGAGCCTTCTATTCCTTCTATTCCTTCTCCTGCCTCTCTCCCCATTCCCTTCTCTGTACTACTATACTGCCTAGAATCAGTTGACACATGCCATGTGCACTCATAAATCATTTTTCATGGACTTGCTTATTTCTTTTTTTTATTAAAATTCTTTTTCCTTAACATTTATTTATTATTGAGAGACAGAGAGAGAAACAGAGCATGAGCATGGGAGGGGCAGAGAGAGGAGGAGACACAGAATCCAAAGCAGGCTCCAGGCTGCGAGCTATCAGCACAGAGCCCATTGCGGGGCTCGAACTCACAAACCGCGAGATCGTGACCTGAGCCGAAGTCGGACGCCTAAGGGACTGAGCCACCCAGGCACCCCCGTGGACTTGCTTATTTCTATTCTACATTAACCCTAGCCTATCCATGTTTTCAGGACTGTACAAAATGGATCCTGCCTCTTCTACTGCCCCTGCTTAATGCTCCGGATCCCTGAACTCCACTAGTGCACTGGGAGATAGACCTCAGCTAGTTCCAACTTCCAGGAATGCTCCCCTTGTAGGGATTGCAGGTTTACTCAGCCAGTCCACAGAGGTTTGACCAGCAGGCTGTTCAATAGCCAGGTGGCCAGCCTGGGACATTCCTCCTTGAATGGGATGCCCCTGGCCAGATTCTTCCAAGAAGCCCAAGTGGCTGACAGAAGTGTCAGCTCTGGGACAAAGGACCCCCTAAGATGTCCTTGCCCTAGACAATAAGC